TCATTCATTCATTCATTCATTCATTCATTCATTCATTCATTCATTCATTCATTCATGGTGCCTTGGAGTATGCAGGAGTGTAAGCATATCACATGTCTGCTATATTGTAAAACAGCCCTCTGATTATGATATCTGAATTGGGACTGCCCACATCTCTTGCCCCAGATGTTCTTGTCTCGAGGCGCTGGAGCAAAGGCTTCGAATGAAGATTCCTCCCATGAGCCTTCACACCTCTGAACTGTCCCACCATTGAAGGGGAAGAGCATTACATCTAGTGAAATAGCAGGGAGGAGGAGGTCAACTGAGGACAGCTGGAAAATTGGAAAAAGAAAGACAAGTTCAAGAGTCAGTTCACCATTTTATATATCTTAAAAATAATTTAATCCCTCTGGAAAGAAGAGGAGAAATCTATTATAATTAAGGTAAGACACTTCCTGCTTTTTGCCTTGGCATGGCTACAGTGAAAAGAAAGTGACTTCTTTTCACTTAACTGCACTGAATCCCCAGTTCTCAATTGCCAACAACAGATATTCCTCATGAAATGACAGCGTTTTTTTTAACCTAACAGATTAAGTATATTGTTGCTTTTTTATTTTGTTTTTATAATGTTTAATTTCACACTAAGTTGCCTTGAGAGCTATGCTGCTAGATGGGGTATATATTTTCTTAATAATTAAACAAATGCAGCAAATTTCCATCACTCTGTGCTCTCCAGATGTGTTGGAATACAACTCCTATAGTCCTCAGGTAATGTCTGCGCTGACTGGTGGTAAAGCCAGAAGTTGTAGTACAAGAGATGTGGGGGGCCAGATAGAAGGAGACAAAATTAAACTGAGAAATGAGGAAAGTAAATTTAAAAGACATTAGAAAGTAGATGAAACTTAGATACAAAGAATAAGAATAGTTTACCAGCACAACTGTTAATCAACAGTCATTGTTAATTGGAGGATCATTTATGTTTTGTTATTTTATTGCTATTTGTGGTTAATTATTTGAGTTAGGGTGTAAGAACAATAAGGAATCTTGTAACACCTTAAAAGCAAATGCACTGAGTATCACACGAGCTCATGTATGTGATAATTAATATGTCCGTTCCAAGGTGCCATTGGACTCTCTGTTGCTTTTGCTTTAGCAGATTAACACTGCAATCCCCTCTGGAACAAAGATTTTCATGCTCATTGAAACTCCAGATTGTTCTTGGCCTCTTCTCATCCATCATTGGATTAAAATTTCCTAGGGTGCAACCATATTGTTTTAACTGAAGACTGGATATTTTGTAAAGCTGTAGCCCTGGGCAGCCTGAAGGCACCCTGGCGTCTATATGCCCGTCTGGTGGCACATGTACTCACATACACACGCTTGGCTATAATCCATGTTTGTCTACATGAAGAGCAGTCAGCTTTGTTTTCACAGCTGTCACACATCAAAGGCTGTTCTTGTACTGCAACTAGCAACCTTGTTTCCAAGCCACTGGTGTCTGGCCATTAAATATAGAGTAAGCAGGTCTCCTTACCTTCAGCTCTGATGACTGGATCTATAAGTGGAAAGGAAATATAAACGTTTCTTATGTTCTACCTGCTGTGAGTCCAGTTAACTAGCAAATATTCCTCCAGAAAATTCACTGCTTACAATTATGGTGCAATTTCCTTGCCTCTTCCACATAATTTTATGTTCTTCCACTACTATTTATGCCATCATTTTCCACCCAAAGCACCACTAGGTGCTACTTATCAACTGTTTTGATTGATAATGCTAGGAGTACTCCATTTGGATTCACCCCTTCCTAGGGAAGGGTGAAAAAAGTTGCTCCAGCTGAACTCGGGGCTTCTTTTGGTTCATCTTTGCATCTACTTCTCTATTCCTTGGAGAATCTAATCAAGAGTACCAACACTGCACTAATTTCCTCTGTAAATCGGGGCAGGAAAATCAGATGCTCTGTCCCATTGTCACAAAGAATCCAGGAAACCCCCTTTGAGGAACAGGGAGACTGCTTTCGTAAGACCTAGGACTGCCAACTCTTCCAAATGAAAAAGAGGGGTGGGGTGGGCAGGAGTGGATGAAGCCCTCCAGATCAAGGGATTAAGCCGGGAGGGGTCAGGGAAGTGGAGCCCCCTGGCACTAGTGTGGGCCTGAGAGCAGAGCCAAATACAGGAGCTGCCTGTTAAAGGGCAGAGTAGAAGGGCAGAGAAGAAAAACGGCCTCCCTCCGGGCACTCCAGGCAACGCCATGGAACGCGAACACAAACTAAGAAAACAAACAAGCTGTGCCTAGGTCAAGGGCTGGTTTGCTTGTGTTTTTCTCCCTTAAGAACTGGCAACGGGAATGGAATGGAAGCCGTTTGGCCCTGGCCAGCCCTGGCAGGCCTGGCTTCAGTCTGTGAGCCTCGCTGCAGATCGAGAGATGCTGCATTGGAGCCGGCCAGACTGGTCGATCTCCTGCAAGGGAGCTTTCAGAGGAGGGGCAGCACAGGGGTCCCTGCAGGCGTCATTCATTCCGACACTCAAACCAGAGGGAAGGTCTTGATCCTGAAGCAGCTGCTTTATTTTGCCAGGCCCACAGCCTCCCACCAAAGTACTTCTGCAATCACCAGCCACGGTGTACAATCACATGCTTCAAAAGATCTGGGGGAAGTATTCTACTGATACGCTTATGTACATTCGATTCATGGTCCATTTTACCCTTGCAATAAGTCTGTGAGGCGTCAGGTTGAGGGCCCAGGTAGATTGGATGCGGCTCTCACCAGCCAAATAGCACCTCGGGGAGAGTAACTCAGTCCAGAAAAGCCCCCTCGCACCATAATGGTCCTACTACATAAATGCTACTACTTCTTGAAAAGCACAAGCTCTTACCTATCGACCAGGTGGTGAGGAGCAGAAAAAGGAGCAAAGGCCTCCCCCACTCCGCTAGGCCAAGCCGTTGC